GGTTCAATGATTCCAATGCGTGTGTTAGAGTCAGATTCAATAGCCTCAGTGAAGCTCAGGATCCAGACATGTGAAGGGTTCGTAGTGAAAAAACAGAAACTTGTTTATGGAGGCAGAGAGTTGGCTCGTAACGATTCTCTTCTTAAGGACTACGGTGTCAAGGAAGGCAATATGTTGCATCTGGTTCTTAAGCTCTCCGATCTCTTGTTCATCACTGTAAAGACTGCTTGTGGGAAAGAGTTTGAGTTTCACGCTGATAGATATAGAAATGTTGCGTATCTCAAGCAAAGAATCGCAAAAAAGGGGAAATGGCTTCTGGATGTTGATGATCAGGAAATCTTCTTCAATGGGGAAAAGCTTGATGATCAGAGGCTTATTCATGATATTTCTAAGGATAGCAATGTTGTGATCCATTTGTTGGTTCAGAAATCTGCCAGAGTGAGGGCTAAGCATGTTGAGAAAGATTTGGAACTCTCAGTTGTCGCCCAGAATGATTGCAATGAGAGGAGAGATGGTGAGGTAGTAGTAAGAGAGAACAGATCATCCGACGAGGTGATTGAGGAGCCACCAGTTAGAGATTTCTGGTTGGGACCAGTTATTGTTAATCCTAATGTCAAATTGCCCTCTTTCATTTGGGACATGATTAATTCTACATCTGATGGTTTGGAGAGAGGGCATCAGCCTCTCAGATCATCTGAAGGAACAGGAGGAACTTATTTTATGCAGGAAAAAGAGGGTCTTGAATTTGCCTCCGTTTTCAAGCCCATTGATGAGGAGCCAATGGCTGTGAATAATCCCCAAGGGTTACCTGTATCCAGAGATGGTGAAGGATTGAAGAGGGGAACAAGGGTTGGAGAAGGGGCTTTGAGAGAAGTTGCAGCATATATATTGGATCACCCCAAGAGTGGGCCTCGCTTGTTATCTGGTGAGAGGATGGGGTTTGCCGGCGTACCACCTACCTGCATGGTTAGGTGCTTGCACAAAGGATTTAACCATCCAGATGGATATGAATGTGC